ATTGAAGTTCATACGTTCATGATCTCATGCCCATGTCTGAATAATGGAGACTGGAGAGGTGAAGTAAATAACCTCCACATTTTCTAATAGTGCATGCAGGAAATATGAATATTTAAAGTCTAATCCATCTATTCATGGGGCCATATGGTCTTGCAGTTGATGGCTCCAATTGAGAATATTGTGAATTACGATTAGTAGTAGGCGTGGACTTTAAAAATCTTCAGTTTGTCAATAATTGAAGAGTAATGAGATTTCCCCAAAAACATCCCATTGCCAACTCTCCATCTCATCCCATCTGTCCTATTTTTGGGGCTCTCAATTCCCGTAAAGGAATGCAAGGAATGCAACCATTGCTTCCAACTCTGAATCATAAATGGATCTAATTAAAGGGGGTTCTCAGACCACCCCAGAATTGAGAATTCTCAAGTATTCTGCTACCAAAGCATTCTTGTTGACAGCAAAACTACCAACAATTGAATCACCTTACACCACGTGCCAAAACTAAATCTTTCTGTCATCACCAATCTCATTTCATTTCATTACATGCTTGAAAAAGTCTACCTAATATCAATCACTTCCATAGACATCCATCCCCTTTTATCAACACAAAATTTGCAATCAATTACACTTCTCCACAACTGTCCTTCCTCTGCATATCTACGCAGTCACCTTCCCAACAGAGCTTGATTGAACATGTATCATGAAATAGTGCTTATCTAATGAATCCTTCATGAATGTGCATAGCTTGGGTTTTGAGTTTGTGGCATTCATTCTAATTCTATTAGAACATTTGAAACCTGGAAACAGATCTGGATTTTATTTTGGGTGGGCAACAAATCGAAGTCACGTAAACTTGAATCATTTTGTGAATATTTCATTAATTGGTGAAAGCAAATTGTTGTTAAGAGAGGGCCCAAATAATTGTTAGCATTGTGCTGCGTTAGTGCTCTAACTCGGCTCCTTATGGGATATATCTTTCTCTTGAGTTTGTAAAGGATGCATTTCAACGGTGTATGTTATTTCTATAACATATATAAAAAGAATGTAAGAGTGGTGTAACACTGCTTCTTGCTTGGTGTAACGCGACTGCTTGTTTTACATAGAACAGTGGTAAAACGTTGATGCTTGGTTATGAAGCATAGAAGCTGTTCTAACACTTCAGTCTAACAGTCCTTTTACCAACCTCTCCATTCTATTCAAATCATAATTACAACTCACCCTTCCTTGTCAGCTATGCTATCTCGATCCTTACTTAACAATGACAATAGCCATGACATCTACAACCGATTGACCAACCAATCGGAGGCCACCATCTCTCCTTTCTTGAATCTTGCACAAAATGCGTACACCGCTATCACCATTTCAGGAAGACCACAAGCAGCAGGAACCTTCAAGAAAGGATAAGCTCATGACACAAGCAATAAGCTCTTCAGGAGTTGAATAGTGCGATCGGTGGAACTGTGGAAGATCTTCAAGAGTTGAGTGGGTTTTCAAACTCGTCACCGAAACAGAACCTTCAATATATTTCTGACCATACATACTGGATTGGTTTATGTTCTATGAGCTGGAACAACCTGCAGAAAATGAGGTGTCTTCTTCCTTTTGTTTATTATGAAATTATCTGTAATTTGTCTATTTGGGGCTCTATTCTTGATCCTCACAACTGTTTAATTGTGTATCCACCATGTATTTGATCATATGCCAAAATGAAACAGACACACACACACACACACAGACACACAGAGTGCTTCATCTTTTTTGGATTTTCACACTCTTTTCATTCTTGTTTCTGCATATTAAAATGTACCAAAACCTACCACTACACCTACTCCACCCACTTCACCTACTCCACCTACTACTCCACCTACTACATACTTACCTCCTCTAATCTTCTATATATAGGACTCATTGTAAACACAACATATATCAATCAATAATACATCAATTTTAACATGGTATCAGAGCAACGTTAACACCCTAGTAATTTCGCTTCACCGGCGGGCGGCAGCCTCGCCTTGGCCGCCCGCCGGACGATGAGAAAACTAAGCACATAACATGTCTGCAATACCTCCCAGTTTCGGTCCTCCGCGGCCGCTTCCGCCGCCGGTGAGTGATGCCATCTGCTAGTAAGGATGCAATCAATATTATTACATCACTTTGTTCCTGGATCCTTGCAAGAGGCCAATCAAATCTGCTCTTTGTACTTCAGTTACCTTGTCGGTTGGTAAAATTCCTACCATGTAGAGTAATCTTCCAAGGATCCAAGCTACCATAGTTTTACCTGTTCCAGGATTGCCATGGAAGGCCATATGAGGCGGTCTTCTAGGGCCGACTCTTAGCCCAAGAGCCCTTCGTCTCTCATCCAAAAGCATCCCCTTTGCCCATTTCCTAAGTTGTAACTTAAGCTCGTGCAGACCCACAATATTTGATAAAGCATCTTCAAGTTCATCCATCTTCGCCTTGGTCTCACTGCAAGCATCGATAGCTTTACGTTTTCTCTGCTCTTCAAGGTGCCAGTGAAGAAGTTCTCGTAATTTCTCACTCCCCAGGCCTTGAGAGAGATGATTTAGCGGAGTCGTGCCCTCATTGTCTACAGCACTGCAATCAGCATTACACTCAAGCAGTGTCTTCACGGTGAAAACATCTTCAGCTCGGAGTGAGTGCCATACAGCCAGGTGCAATGGGGTCATACCATTATTTGCTTTGGCTTCGACAAAAGCACCATTAGCAAGGAGCAACTGAGCAGCTCCTCCCTTTGTGTTGGTGTGTGGATCTCTCTGTGTGTTCTCCGAGAGGGAGAGAACTGGGTGTGTTCTTGAGTGTGTTGTTTTCAGCTCCAACCCAACTCCATGTTAGACTCCAAGCCTTGAATGGGTTTTTTTGATTGAGTGATGAGGGAGTGCAGCACTCGTGAGCTCTCAGCCAGAGAGAGACTGAGAGAGTTGGCCCCGTGTGTGCATATCCCTCTTAGCCCCTGATCAGTGCCTTCTCCTCATCTTGATTATTTTTTATTGATCTCCTCCTTCAACCAAAGAGAGAACCCATCCTGGCAAGAGAGAGCACATGCATATGTGTGTTGTTTTTCTCTCTCCCATGTGACCCACTCTCCAACCTATACTTTTTCTTTTTCATTACACTCCTGTTCCCCACTCCACTTTCTTTTCTTTTCTTTTTTTATATTTATTTTATTCCATCTTTTGAAAAGAAACCGAAAACTGGTTTGCACACCATCATCTTACTTTTTCATTAGTGGTAGGACCCGACTAAACAAATTTGAATCTCACATTTCCTTTTTATTTTTATTTTTTTATTCCTTTCACATTCACACATTTCTCTTCAATTTTATTCACATACTTCTCTTCACATTTATTTTCTTTTATTTTCAAAACAAAAACAACACAACCTAAAAAAAAAAAAAACAAACCAAAAAAAAAAAAAAAAAAAAAAAAAAGAAGCAGCAGCCAAAGAAGCAAAACTGCACACCAAACTCATTTTATTCATGTCGGGGCTCACCCCGATCACCATTTTACACCACACCAAAAACAAAAAAAAAAAACCAACACAAATCGGAACAGTGGGATTTTTCTTCTCTACTCTGCCGCCGGTCTCTTCTTCTTGCCTCCGTCCTGGGCGGCCCTTGACGGTGTTGCCTTCGTGTTTCCCACTCCACTGGGCACGATCACCACTCCCTGCTCCTCCACTGCAGCATATGACGGACCTCCAAATCGGAACATAACGGTGGCTTTCCGCTTCAGCTCCTTATTTTTCGCCTTTAGCACACTTATCTCTGCTCGCGCATCCTTATACATGCGTTGGAGCAGAGCCAGTTGGGCGTTTAGCTGCTGCACCTCATTTGTTCTACTCTGCAGCCGGTTCGACAAATTTGTAACCGCAGTCATGGTTTCCACACATGACTTCAGAGTATACTGATTGGCCTCAATATCAGTTTGCACCGCCATTTTTTGCTCCACCGACCGCATCGGAAAGTTCAACGGAGCAAAACCAGAGGTGTTTGGTTGAGGTTCACTGGCCACCGCACCAGTTATTTCTCTTGTGGACTCGTTCAATTCTGGAAAGAGCGTAAGCAGACCACGGGAAGAGGAGGCCATGTTCTGGGTAGCTGGACGGGAAGAAGAGGCCATGTTGCTAAGTGTTTCAGAGACGGGTTGGTTACAGAGTATTACAGAGTTTCTCAGCAAAGGAAGAGTTTGTTTCAGAGGACAAACGGGCGCGCCAGTCAAGGCACTCACGTGCCTCGCCATCATGTCCGGCACATCTTTTTATGACTTGGGCTCGCCTTTTGATGGCACGTCTTTTTATGGATTGGGCACGCCTTTTGATGGCACGCCTTTTGATGGCACGCCTTTTGATGGCACGCCTTTTGATGGCACGCCTTTTGATGGCACGCCTTTTGATGGCACGCCTTTTGATGGCACGCCTTTTGATGGCACGCCTTTTGATGGCACGCCTTTTGAAAAATTGAGCGCACCTTTTGAGGATGCGATTTTTTTATGGGTCCGACAAGACTCTGTAAACTGTCTCGACATTGATTCCGGTTAGCTCCTTTATGGGTCTGACAAGACTCTGTAAACTGTCCCGACATTGATTCCGGTTAGTTTCTACAAGGGTCCAGCAAGACTCCGTAAACTGTCACAACAACTGTCACAACATTGTCTGCTACAACGGTCCGACATGACCCCATAAACTGTCTTCTACATCGGTCCAACACGAGCCAGTGTCTTCTACATCGGTCTGCCATAACCATACAGTCTTCTACAACGGTCTGACACGACCATACAGTGTCTCCTATCCATTTTTTATTTTTCAGATTGTTTTCTTGTTTTGTTACTCTCTCCAAACTCAAGTTGGTTAGTTTCTATCCCCCTTGAGTTTGCGGGGGGCTGTTAAAATGTATCAAAACTTACCACTACACCTACTCCACCCACTTCACCTACTCCACCTACTACTCCACCTACTACATACCTACCTCTTCTAATCTTCTATATATAGGACTCATTGTAAACACAACATATATCAATCAATAATACATCAATTTTAACACATTCTTTAGTGAAGAATTCTCTTTTTCTTATAAAGCATTCCAAGGAACAAAACAGAGATTTCTACGATTCTATCATTCTCATTTGATAAGATGGTAGTTATTAAATCTTAAATATCTATAGAAATTAGTAAAAGTTTGCAATGGCTCCAAGTTTTGGTGAAGCCTTCTATGTGCAGAGGACAACAACAGTAAGGAATGGGGACTTCAATTTGGGGGCTAGAAAAGCGGTTGTTGATTGAATTGGAAAGGTTGGTTCATGAGCTTTCTTTAATGGGTTTCTTTTTTTCTTTCTTTTTGATTTTTTATGGGTATTTGTTTTCCCATATGTTTTTGATGATACCAATGACTTGGTTTTTTTGGATTTTTATTTTATTTTTATTTGTTTTATATGGAATTTTTGGGGTGTTCTTCTAATGATGTTTAGTTTCTCTTCTCTTTGTTTTTGAATTAAATGTTGATTGGGGTTGTCATTAACTAATACAAAGAATTCTTCAAAGGAGCACAAGAACAAATATAGAATGCACAATATGGTGGAATATGCAGAAATAGAGAAATTATTCCACCCGATTTTGGTCATTGACGAAATCACAACTATTTCGCCTCGATCACAAAATCATTGTCATTATGCTTACCAATTCAGATCGCCAACAATCTACCTTGGTTGAAAGTCAAAAGTCCATAAATGAAAACAAATAAAGTAAAACATGTTTAATTTTGTTAGAATTGTAATCAATTCTATTTACTATGAAGAAAAGAAGACAAATTGTAGCTTTGGTTTCACTAATAATTTCTTGATTGAATCATCTATTTCTTGAATGTTCTTTATGTAATTGGATTTTCTGTTGTTCGAATGCCATGTTTTCGTTTTAGGTTTTCATTTTTTTGTTTATCATATATATGTCCATATCTGTCAATGATGTTTGCATGAAATATTCGGAGAGGGATTTATGGAGGATTCGTTCTTTTTATTTTCTGTCTTAAGTGCGTTATTATTCCTTGTAATCAAATCTTATATCACCCTTACAGACGTGAAAAAATTATTGGTATTTGTTGGTTGGATGGATTTATTTGTTATTCTTTTTTCAATAACCAGGAAAAGTTGGGGCTATTCTGGCATCTATACTATTGCCGATCTTTGGAGCTCTGTACTGCCTCTTGTTTGCCTACATGCTTATGTTTCCTTCCTCTTATTTGGTGAATAAATGACAATTTAAATTTAAAACTTGCAGGAACTAGAAAGAACAAATGTTTAAATAATCCAGTGCTACAATCTATTTATGGCGTGAACTAATGGACCACCTTATTTCACTCTATTCCTCATTGCTTTATTTCTGATGACCCTAATATATTTAAGAAGCTATTTTTTCTTTTTCATTCTTTGGCAGGGTATTAGAGATTGGGGTAATCCACTGTTGGTGGATCAACAGAGTTTCTCTATGCTAATTTCAAATTCAAATAATTTATTTAAATTGATCTACAACTTGACAGCTATGAATTCTAAATTCTATTTCAATGGTCAAATAAATGCTTTAAATTTACTCTTTGCCAAGCTCTTGTATTTGCCACATATTTGTCAATTCTGATTTATTATTATTTCTAATGCTTCATAATCCATTACAGCACCCTTTGTGGATCTCACTTTCTACATATTTCGTATGTCTACTTCAGGAAAAGCACAAAAATGAAGACATTCAAGGATCACTTTTTGAAGAACCTTCTCACGGAGCTCTATTTTGCACTTGGGAAACATTTAAGAGGACATTGAAGGATAAGATAGATTCAAAGTGACACGTATTAACCATTTTAATGTTCTTTTATATATTTGTTAATCATTTTAGTATCTCAAAACTCTCTTCTTAACACGTTCATCCCACAAATTGTTAGACTAACAAGCCGGTCTTGCTCATAGAACAATGTCATAAGGTATTTCGCGCTTCTATTTATCATTGCCAACCGAACTTGAAAAATTATGCCTTCTTGTACTCCATGTAACCAAGTTTCTTGGAGTCTATTTTTATGTCCAACAATGTTTTTATTTTTATTATTTTATTTTTTAAAGCTAAACAATGCATCATTTATTGCAGAAACTTTCACCACCAGCTCAAGATTGGAGATCACCTTAGCGAGTTCTAACTAGTTGTAAGAAATAAGATTAAGCTGATTACAATTATGACAAATAGTTGTGTGAGTTCTAACATATTTTGTGGGGCTTGTTTTATTTGAATGTCATCCCAAACCAGTGCACTGCTAGTTAGTTAAAATCCATCATCTCAAAACTGGGATAGTTATAGATAAAAGTTATTAGTGAAAACTAACCATTTTTATTTCTTTGGTTTCAGTTAAACATTCACATAAATGTTTCTTGACTTCTCTAGTGTCAGAGAAATTTCAACCCATTTGAAGCATCTATATTGACAATTGTGTTTAAGGGACTGAACCTGTGGAATTTACCAGTGGAAGTTCTTCCAACAATAATCTAGATCTGTATGTGTTTGAAAGGTGATGCCAGGAGGTGAAATTGATTCAAGTAGTAGTCTAGTGGACATTTGAAAACTTTTTGCCCAAAACAATGTCTAGAACTTCTCAGAAGATTTGAAAGCAAATTAAGATTATGATGGTGGTCCTGTAAGTTGCAAGGGACATTGGCAGAGTAAGGATGGGCCAACCGACAACTTGAATCTGGGGTATCCAGTTGTTTTCAGTTTCCTGCATGCTTATGCCATGGCAGGTTTGAATTCACAGTAATAGTGACTTGTGAGGATAAGAGTTTCTAGGTAATAGTGATTTTGCTTGATGTTTTGAGTCGTGCTCTAGAGCTACAACACCAGAGATAGATGGAAATGGTGAAACATTCTATATTGTACCAAGTGGTACTTTTGGAAAAGTTGTCATTTATCATGGAATTGACTCTGGTTTACAAATGATTGAATAACTGGGTGAAATTTACTTATTCAAATCAAGAGATATATAAGTAGGCACATCCCATTGCACTAATCAGGGGCATCTACAGTGACTGAGTGGTCAAAGTAGTACGCTAGTTCTATTGTCTCTTTAGTGAACATTGATGCACTGATCTGGATGATCTTGCTATTTTGTGTTGCTACACTGTAAAAAGTGCCGCTTCTTGATGATACTATGATTTGCATGATCTTGCTATCTGGTATGGTGCAACACTGAAAAAATGCTTCTCCTTGGTGATGCTGTAATTTACATATTTCTATTGTCAGCTAAACAGGGTCTTTTTATGTTGCAATAAGTTGAAAATATTATTTTCTTCTTCCAGAACTTATTTTTCTGCTGAGAGATGTGGCAAAAATGAATTAACGCACAATTATGAAGTGGTTCAGATATGTGGCTTAAGAAATGGTTTTAGGGATTGGATGGTTCACGGAGCCCTTATTTTGGGTCCAGCAATGGTAAAATTTCCACACTGCATAAATTGTTACTGGGTGAAGTTTTCAAATCTCATTTTTCTTGTTACCATTATTCAAGGCTAGCATGTTATGTACTACATATTATAATTTTTTTTTTTTTATGGATGTACTGGACCGTATCTCTATCCTTCTTTTTTTAGGTTTTGTTGTATTATCATACCTGTAATGTGCCTTTACCCGCACCCATCTTTCCTAGGTTTTCTCCCTGTTTATTTAGGTTGAAGACAAGCAGTTTTTGTAGTACAGTATGATCTTCTACTGGGGTTGACGGGCTATCCATGGTTTTTGACATCTGTGCTTTTGAACAGTGATGTGGGTGTGGATCTCATGGTCGAGGTTTGTGGAAGGGGATTTGATTGGGTCGGGGGGAATTGTGGAGGAGGATGGGTTTTTGGGTGGGGTCAGGGGAGAGGGTGTGTTTTTGGAGGGATAGATGGTGTGGTGAGGTCTTGTTGGAGGAGTGCTTCCCTTTGATTTTTAGCATTATTGTGTTTCGGGAGGCTACTGTGGCATTTTGCTTTGAATGCATTGGGGGCATAGTGGATTGGAATATTAGGTTACGTTGGTAGGTTTAGGATTGGGAGGTGGGCCAGTTGGTGGATTTGTTGAGTTTTCTGTATGGTTTGGGAATTACGGGGATGGGGGAGGAGGATGGTTTGGTTTGGTGTGGGTTGGGGGTTGAGGGGCAGTTCTCAATTTCTTTGTTTTATCGGGGTTTGGTGGGACAGGAGCTCGGGAATTTTCCTTGGCTGAGTATATGGTTGCCGGGTGTTCCTTCTAAGGTGGTTTTTTTCATTTGGATGGTGGCCTTAGGTAAGATTCTTACAATTGATAATTTGATTCGTTGCTGTCAAATTTTAGTGAATTGGTGTTGTAGGTATTGTTGTGATGCAGAGTCCATTAATCATTTGCTTATTCATTGTTCGGTGGCTTCTTGGTTGTGGGGGTGCATTTTGTCTACCTTTGGGATTAGTTGGGTTCAGCCAAGGTGGGTTATGGAGGTGCTTTGAAGTTGGAGAGGGGTTCAGGTTGGGAACAATCAGCAGAAAGCTTGGGCTTTAGCCCCGTTATGTTTAATGTGGTTGGTTTTGTTGGAGCGGAATCGTCGAATGTTTCAAGGGATGCATCATCTTGCCTCTTGGTTAGAGAATCAGTAGTTAATAGTTTTGTATAGCTGGGTTGAAAGGGAGGTCGAGATGTGTTCTTTTTTTAGATGATTTAATACGTTGGATGGTTAGGGGGTTTCCCCCTTTTGGAGATTTTTCTTTGTATTCTTTTACATCGGCTTGATGCTGTTCTAATAAAGTTGCTTTATTTATCAAAGAAAAGATGCGTAATTTTTTTATAATATAAATTACTTCAGATGTTACAGTTTTGTGAGTTCCCTCGATCTACTCTGCAAATCTTGAATTGACAAGAATGAAAAGGTAGTAATGTGAATTGCTTGTGTTCTTTTGCAGTTCTAAATTTGTTGCCTTCATCATAAAACTGTTTCTTTGTTTTGGATGGCTTTCAAACAAACATGCTCCTTTGGAAGCAGTGGATGCCTGAGTGAAAGTCGTTTTGTGAATTTTTATTTTTATTTTGTCTTTCCCTCTATATGAGAAGCATGTCTTCTTAAACATGAAGAGTGTGAGCTTATAAAATGTAGGAGTCTTTGTATTTGTGCTGTCGTTCCAACTCCTGCTATTATTTTCTTGAATGGTCTTGCAATCTTAAGTCTAGTCTTCAAACTTCCCTCGATGTTCTGAAATTCTAAGTAGTAGTATAAAAATATCAAACGGTATACCTTGAGGTTGCGGCTTGTGCATTCATAGATATTCAATCGTTTACCATTTCTCTTTTGCCTGGTAATGTAACAAAAGAGCTTCATATTGCTGATAACACGAAGTTTACTGCAGTATACTCTTCTCTTTCCTTTCTAGAAATTTCATTTGTGTTCATTGGGGTTGTCTGAATTGATAGTTAGGCTGGGGCAGGACTAATAGGGATGATTTTTCTTTTAGCTACCTGTTTGTCATATAGAAGTCTCTAGCTCCCAAACTTTGGACCTGATCATTTCAATTTTATGAAAATGCAATGCTAGAGATCCACAATTTAAACCCTTAAATTCACTCACAATGATGTGGCAAGAGAGTTGGGGCTTGTATGATTAAATGTGTGACAAATCAAAAGTTGACACCTATCATGCCACATCATTATGGGTCATATTGTGTGAGTTTTTTAGGGGTCTCAAGCATTTTCTTTTACGTTGTGTTTGGTTGCGGGATTTGGGGAGTGATTTGGATAGGGAAAGGGAAAAGGTATGTGAAACTAAGTGAAATATAGGCATGTTTTATTTACATTTCACCTATCTTTTCCATTTCCCTTTCCAAATCCCCCCTCAAATCCCCCAACCAAACACAGCATTAAGAAATTCAGGTGACACATGCTTTTAGGTTCTTTGATTTCACGGCTATGCCTGAAAACTGCCCCTGTGAAAGAGAATTTGTTAATTGTGATGCTGTAAGCACTGGGAAGATCTAAACTACTGAGACCAATTAAGCCAACAGTAAAAGAACAGCGACCTAGATTATTATGATTGGCATTCGTTTTTCATTCCTGGAGAGGAAAGAGACAGTTTTGCCACCAGAACCTGGAAATTTGTGATGCTAACAATATTATGATGAAGGTTGTTTTGGCCTCTTTTACATTGCTAATTTCAGAATTATACAGGAAAACAGTATGATTAAAGTGCTTTGAGTAGGATAATCTCATTTCTTGCGAACTGTTTAAAAAGCTCTATCCATCTACAACATTGTGTCTAGCCTTTTCTATTTCTCATGCTGTAGAGGGTTTTCAACTTGAATGCAGATTGTACCAAGTTGCAGGTTAAACAAAGTCCACATTGTATGCAGAAAACATATCGATGGAATTGCTGCATCCAGGTCAGACATCTTACTTCTCTAACATATCGATGGAACTGCTGCATCCAGGTCAGACATCCTACTTCTACCTCGTATCCATATTTTTTGTTCAGTAGTTCTTAACTTTGGCACCGATGATATAATTAGCTGCCTCTCCAAAGTCTAATCTTTCCAGTTCTAAGTAACCTGGAACTTGACAAAAACAAAATTTCCTTAAGAATTTAAGCACGAACATCAAATTATTAGGTCTGTTATCCAAAATTGTAACTGAAAAATGGTCCAACATAAAAGGCCGGAATAGGATGGCTGGTTGGTGAAATTGAATATGATATAGTTTACTTGGTAAAAGCTTTATCGTGATTATGAATTTCAAAAACAAATTCGCTACCTGTGAGTTTGAATAGGGATTTCCCATAGAGATTTATATGGAACTTGGTTTATGATTGACATGAAGGATTGTAGCATCCAGACAGACCTGAACTGCTTAGAGATCACAGTTTGCTGGCTCCAGAAATGCCAGTGAGATATGAAGTTTTGTTTTTAAGTCTAGAAAATCATTCTTGTTATACTCTATATATACTGCATTCTTTAATTCCTTGCATTCAAGATTTTTCTTAAAAAATATATATATACATGCACGGGGTGCAGAACTGGTGCACATAACAGACAAGATGCACAATAAAATGCACAGAATATTATTAATTTTGTGTTTTTCCCTGTACTAATTTGTGCATACCAAACGGGTAAAATGATAGCGAGAGGAAAAATATACACATTGTCAAAGCACATGGTAGGGCTAAATTGTATTTCTCTTCTGTTTTTTTTATTTTTTTGCAAATGGAAGTCAATGATATTGACATATATCAAGACATACAATTATTTAGATGGTCCCCTGGTGTGCATGAAAATAGTCATTGGAGCCAAAGTTTGTAGAGAATATGGTTTGTTAATTGGACAAATATATTACGTGTAATGTGTATTCTACGGTGCGTACCCCTCTCTCTAACCTACAAGTATGAGAGAGAGAGAGTGAGAGAGTGAGTGTGTGTGTGTGTGTGTGTGTGTTGCACAAAATATCACTTTCATTAATACTAATGGGCAACTCAGACCCCATCTCTCTGTATAGAGGGAAAGGAGGGAGGTGGACAAATGATGCTCCATTGTTTTCTTAGACCATGTTTAATTTGAAAATAAGAGTGGGGTAGGATTATTTTATCTTGTGATAAAATTATCTCACATTTTGTGGATCAACAAGTTTACCGGAGAGTCCCATTCAAAGGAATTCGGGGGTGAAAAAATTGTGTGGATGAATAATTAATTAATATTTTTTTAGATCAGCTAGATGAATCATTAATATTTGTGGATCTAGGATAACTTATTCTGCGAATATAATACTCTCATGTCTGAGATAATTTTGTATCGGTGAGAATAATTTTTTTGGAATAAGAATTTTGTTACAAAATAACTAAAATGACCTTTAAAATAAATCATCTTAAAATAACTTTATCACGTCTTATCTTATATATGAACCAAACTTTGACTATAGAGTTCAATTTTTAGGCTTAATAGCTTGGCCATTTCTATATATATATATACATTAAATGAGGCCTCTTTGAAAATAAAGAAGAAAAACTCTTTTAAAGCATTGTGTTATAGGGATTAGATGAAGAGCATATTTGAGTAGGAGGGGGTCATTGTCAAAGACTCAAATGTAGTGCATCATGCTCACCACAAACAAGCCATCTGGGTTTGTTTTTATGTGTGTGTGTGTGTGTTTTTTTAACAAGTTGACTTGTCCATTCATATTAATCAGAGACATCCAGACATCAAAAATATATTCTTCCATTTTCCCCTTAATGTGGTGGAAGAGGAGTTAAACTTGGCAATATGAAAGAAGATTCAAGTAATATATATAAATATTTTTTGTCTTTTTCTTTAATTTTCCTTCTACAAAATTCATGTCCCAAACCCAATCTAAATACATTAAAAAATGTTAGAGATCTTAAAAGTTCTATTAAAATTTCTACTAAATGTCTCATTAACATTTGGTAAAAATTTTGATAGAAATTTTGGAGTCTCTAGTATTATGTTATATGCTTACTGTCTCTTTGCTCAACTGCATTTATTCTTTGCAGAACTCTTTAACTTGAATCCAAAGCATTAATGCAAAGCATTTATTCAGAGATGGTAAATTTGCCATAAACAACTTTTGCTTATATTGATAAAATGAGTTCAGCAATGCTTGGTAGTCCAAAAAGAAGGTTGGCTTGAATGGCTCGAAATTCATCTCGCCAGTCGTCCGGCGAGAAGGTTGATAGTCAAGGTCAACAAAGGTGACAACCGCAGAAGACAAGTTTTCACTAGATTGTCCGAGCGAACATCCAGCCGGTTGTCCTTGCAGACGTCCGGTAAACACTCATTTGGGCCATTCGAGCTCCTCCTTTTTTGGCTACCAAGCATTAATCAAATGCGTTTTCACACTTGACCACTGGTAAGACTATGGAAAATGTTTGGGACCCCCACCACCCCCATTGACGTATTGACTATTGATGTGTTTAAATTATTTATTTTTTATTTTTTATTTTTTTTTGTGTCTGACAGTGACATGAATGGTTCAAATCATTTTGGGGGTTGTGGAGTTATATTTTGGAGGGGTCTATATCATTACTGGTAAGACCATATGACTACCAATTCCTTTTCTATCATCCCATTTCTATATATGATAGAAAACGGGGTAATATTTATTTTGATAACATAATGATGCTTTATTTACTGATTAAAAATTTTAAAGTAACAATTCGAACACATCATTTAATCATACAAACCTCCAAATCACCATTGCATGTTTTTCTTACTAATAATTTTATATACACAATAAATCATAGAAAACACAAATGGTGTAACGTCAATATCTTCATTGGAGGGTCCCATTGTCTAATGTGTATTATTTTAAATTATTTAATATAATTGATTCTCTAATTGATTCTGTGTCCATAAATCTCACATTTTCTTACACCCCCTAAAGTAGGAGAAATGTCTCTCCACCCTGTGGTGGTAGCCCACCTTTGGCTTTCTATTTGAAAGAGAAGCTTGTCTTTAGTTTTTCAATCAGCAAAATAATGTCAATTATGAATATGCAATAACTCATTTGTCCAAATGCCCCACAATAATGCATGAAAAACATGTTAGGTACACTAAAGTGGAAGTTGGTACAATTGTTATGCAATGGTTTGAAAATAAATAGCTTGTTGGCACACCATATATAATGTTTAGGTCTAAAACAAAGGAAATTTAAATATATAAACATCATAAAAAAAAGGGTTTACTTTTGGTTGTTAGATCTAGAAATGAATTGAAGTCCGTATTTATTTATATAATCAATTTGTTAAGGAGGTATTAAATATGCCTAACTAACTCCATAATCATAGAAAAAAATAAATGCAATAATTTTGAGAAATTATATTTCCACACGTCTATTTATCTCAATGCACACATTTATTGATTAAATTATTAATTATTCTTCTCAATTTACACTTTAAATATTTCAGTTATACCCTTTACTCATACCATGATACACACACTCCTCCTCTGGCCGGGGCGGCGGGGACGACGACTCAAAGTTCAATAGTGTACCAAGAAATCAAGCAATCGAAGAAGTGATTTTCATGGTTGATACCTTCGTTTGTGGTAGCTAATATTGTCATGTTTGTAATCATGTTCATCAATGATTGCCCGAAGAACTCTGGCTCTTGCGTTGCTGGGTTTTTAGGGAGGTTCTTGTCCACAGCACTCTTTCTCAATTGCAAAATTCTTGGTTACCATTGCACATACCATTTCTCCCATTTTACCTCACATTCAGTGCTATTTCTACAATATTACAGATGTGCTTATGTTTAAAGTAAACATGGAGATTGAAGAGGAGCTGATAATACATGGATAGGTCTAAAACAAAGGAAATTTAAATATATAAACATCATAAAAAAAAGGGTTTACTTTTGGTTGTTAGATCTAGAAATGAATTGAAGTCCGTATTTATTTATATAATCAATTTGTTAAGGAGGTATTAAATATGCCTAACTAACTCCATAATCATAGAAAAAAATAAATGCAATAATTTTGGGAAATTATATTTCCACACGTCTATTTATCTCAATGCACACATTTATTGATTAAATTATTAATTATTCTTCTCAATTTACACTTTAAATATTTCAGTTATACCCTTTACTCATACCATGATACACACACTCCTCCTCCGGCCGCGGCGGCGGCGACGACGACTCAAAGTTCAATAGTGTACCAAGAAATCAAGCAATCAAAGAAGTGATTTTCATGGTTGATACCTGTAGACACCCCATTTTTGACCGACCTTAGGACTCAGACGTCACTGATTGAGCGCTCGGTGATGTTGCATATTGTGCTCGTTCAGAAGTTTCAGAGTCTCGGCTGCAAGCCTTGCCTCCAGACTTCCGGACTCTTTCGCGCCTTGCCTCGGTTTGCGAACTAGGCTCTGTTTTTTCTATTTTCTCTTCTCGAAGGGAGAGAGAGGTCTTGTAGATCATCTCTCAGTGGCCGTAGGCTACGTTTCGTGGTCGTAGGCCATTTTTTCCATTTGGAGCCCGGTTTCCGATTTTTCGGACCCAACGCCCGTGTGCCTAGGTTCGGGACCGCCTAAACAACTCCGTTTGCTCCGATTTTTGGCATACACGTTATTTCCTCCCTTTTGAGGAACACTGTGGCTCGAGAGACCAACTTCGTGGTCAAACGCCACCTTCGGTGCTTAACAGCCCATTTTCGGGGCCTCGGGCCGCGCGTTTCGGTCCCCGAAACTCCGTTTTGCATCCGTTTTGGTTCATTTTTGGTGGAGACCTTATTTTCATTGTTAGAAAGCTTGTAGGAGGGTGGGAGGCCAGCAACTGTTCTGAAAAGCCAGCTTTATTTCTTCATTGCTCACCGTCGCCCGTTTTTCTCACTAAAAAGCTAATGTTGACCACCCCGGGGCCACTTTCTTTAGCCCTAAACCCCATACTTGTGTTGTACACACCTGGGAGGCTACCAATATGTATAGGCCGGCCAGTAATTATCCTTGACCCTTTTGAACCCCTCTAAAAAGTTGGCTTTTCTCTCTCCTGGTTCACATTTTCTGAGTTTTGACTACATATTTGTGTTGTGCACACATAGGAGGCCACCTTTTTGGGGTGGCCGGCCAACAATTTTTATTGACCCTTTTGACCCCTAGCCGGCCGGCCAGGGGGGGTGGTCGGCCGGCCACCTGAACCTTTTGAACCTGGCCGGCCAGAATCCCCTCTCCAAATGGCTTCCAGCTGTATCCTTTGTTTCCCCCTAGATTTTGTATCCGGGGGGTGCCTTTTGGGGGGAAAATTTGAATTGGTTTTCCCGCCCTTTTCTTGGCCTCTCTCCCTCTATAAAACCAGCACCCCAGCTCCATTTTGAAGGGTTAGAAAATCAGCTAAGGCACCATTGATACACACACTCCCTATCTCTCTCATTCAACCCTCAAAGCCCTAAGAGTCTTGCACCATTTACACACCAACTCATAGCACCACACCTCCACACTCCATTCCAGCAACTTAGAAGCCATTTGCAGAGGTTGGAAGCTCAGAAATTTGGACCAAAAGCTGCTAGAGACTTAGGCTACAAGGGTGAGTCCCTATTTCCTCTTTTCCTGCCCTATTTTGCATGCTTTCTTAGCCTTTATTACTTGCATTTTTGGGCTCTGACCCAAACCAAAAATAGTCATATTTTGAGCTCCTTTTCATGTTTGATCAAGGACCTCTTGCTGTTTGAGGTCTCCTACTGCCACTTGCCTCTTTATCTCTCTTTTAGGCCTATTCTTTGCATGATATTTTAGGCTTATTTGTGAGCTGTTTTGGACTTCGTCATAAACTGTAAAATGTCTTGTTTTGAGCCCCTCTTCAACTTTGTTGAAGGGATCTTTTCCATTTGAGGTCATCTGCTACCACTTGTCTCTTTATCCCTCTTTTGGGCCTTTTTCTTGCATGATAGTTTAGCCCTATTTGTGATCATTTTCGTGGATTGATGTAAAATTTAAAGTGTCTTATTTTGAGCCCCTATTAAACTTTGTTGAAGGGTTGTTCACTGTTTGAAGCCAGATTCTGTCTCTTGTCTCTATTTTCTCTTTTAGGGCCATCTTTGCATAATAGTTTAGCCCTATTTGTGTTTGTTTTTGAGATTTGTTATAAACTGGAAAAAGGCTTGTTTTGACATCATATTCATGTTTTATTAAGGGAATTTTCTTATGTGAGGTCTCATGCTTCCTTTTATGCTTGATTGTCCCTTGTTTTGAGCCTTACACCTAAGCTCTTGTTGCATGCTTTGTTTGGCCTTCTATGTGTATGCCATTTCATAGCATTGTGTATGCTAGGTTGTATGTTAGAGCATTGTGTATGCCTCGTTACATCGTGCATTGTGTATGCCATTTCATAGCATTGTGTATGCTAGGTTGTATGTTAGAGCATTGTGTATGCCTCGTTACATCGTGCATTGTGTATGCCATTTCATAGCATTGTGTATGCTAGGTTGTATGTTAGAGCATTGTGTATGCCTCGTTACATCGTGCATTGTGTATGCCATTTCATAGCATTGTGTATGCTAGGTTGTATGTTAGAGCATTGTGTATGCCTCGTTACATCGTGCATTGTGTATGCCATTTCATAGCATTGTGTATGCTAGGTTGTATGTTAGAGCATTGTGTATGCCTCGTTACATCGTGCATTGTGTATGCCATTTCATAGCATTGTGTATGCTAGGTTGTATGTTAGAGCATTGTGTATGCCTCGTTACATCGTGCATTGTGTATGCCATTTCATAGCATTGTGTATGCTAGGTTGTATGTTAGAGCATTGTGTATGCCTCGTTACATCGTGCATTGTGTATGCCATTTCATAGCATTGTGTATGCTAGGTTGTATGTTAGAGCATTGTGTATGCCTCGTTACATCGTGCATTGTGTATGCCATTTCATAGCATTGTGTATGCTAGGTTGTATGTTAGAGCATTGTGTATGCCTCGTTACATCGTGCATTGTGTATGCCATTTCATAGCATTGTGTATGCTAGGTTGTATGTTAGAGCATTGTGTATGCCTCGTTACATCGTGCATTGTGTATGCCATTTCATAGCATTGTGTATGCTAGGTTGTATGTTAGAGCATTGTGTATGCCTCGTTACATCGTGCATTGTGTATGCCATTTCATAGCATTGTGTATGCTAGGTTGTATGTTAGAGCATTATGTATGCCTCGTTACATCGTGCATTGTGTATGCCATTTCATAGCATTGTGTATGCTAGGTTGCATGTTAGGGTTGCATTCATGCATATCATGCATATTGCATTGTGCTTGGGATAGAAGTTAGCCCAAGCACGGGAAATGAGGGACGTTTCGTACTCTGAGTGACGGAACGTGTCTCAATTTCCAGTCGTCGATACTCCGGATTATCCATGATGGAGTCTAGGCCCTGTTGTGTTTTTATGTGCATTCATTCCACATTGAGTCATGCAATTCGACTCCTCGGCCATCGTGCATCGAGATGTGTGATTGGTGGCACGAGGATCGAGGACTACACTCCCCGAAGAGTAGTCATGCATACATATGTGAAAATACTTTGCCATGCCCCTTTGTTGCTCTCTGTTGTAGCAAATCAGAAATCAGCAGCCTTCCGGAGCTTGGCATGCATTCCAAGAAAAATTGTAAACAGAGGCAAACCGGGGCATCGCAAGGGATTTTCTCGCAAGGCAAATTCAAGTATGCATCATTCATCATCCGGAACAGAGCTGAGGCGGTCCACGAATTTGTGTGCAATTTATTGCTTTCCTAGATTAATGTGTTAATTAATTAGGATTTTATATTTATTCGGGACTGTATTATTTATTCATTTGGGATTGTATTATTCTTTCGGACCCTCTGTGCGAGGGCACAACTGTAATAAGTGTGCGTGTGTGTGATGTATGTCTTCCAACCCTACGTCTTTCTCCCTTTTATTTATCATCTTATGATGGTTAGATTAGGGCATGTTTCAATTAGCATACAGTATGACAACATGTTTGCATTCATTCATCTGTCTTGCATGTACCGGGCTCGGCGCATCATACTAACTGCATTTGTATCTCAATTCCAAGTTGAATACATGTTAGTTGTAGCATTTCACATGTTATCTCTAGAATAGCCGAACCTATCTTAGTTGCATTTTGCATGTATTGCATTAGGCATTTCTGTATAGTTAGGATCATGCATGGATTTCTAACATAGCTTTTGTTTTGGCTTGGAGTACTCGGTAAGTATTTATGCTTTAGCATCCTTGCATGTGTGTGAGT